TATTTTTTGTTTTTTTTGTTTTAGAACAAACCTTATTTGAAGTGTATAAAAAGTCCACTTCATGGCAATGTATAGCAGCGTTACACTGCGATAAAATGCAGAATGTCCATTGTACAGGCTGTGTTGCTGTGTAAATGGGACATGCAGGAAACAATTGTTTTCTCTGTATTACTGCAGCGACAGACGTTTTACAATGTCAATGTCACCACACAGTGTGAATTGGCCCTCAGACCACACGCTGCTTGTAGTTTGACCTTAAAATGGAAATCTGAGCTAAATAAATATTAGAGGCAGGTGTGTTCCTTTCTTGAATCCTGGCAGTCCTTGTGCATTTTTTACAGATCTTTACAGTAATCCAGCATAAAACCGCTCCTGTGCCTTTGCTCAGTAGTTTCATGTGATAAAGACCTTTGTGCCTATTGAGGAATATTTTTAAAAATATGGTGTTTATTCCTGGAGTTTAGCTTTATGCAGAGGAAGAAGAGGCAGTGATCCCATTACAGGAATGGTGGGATGAGAATTCTGGAAAATCCAGCCTGCATACTGAATTTTGCTTCCAAGGAAAATATTGGATGGTTGCTCGCTGTCATTATTAGAACCCAATTCCTTCTAGAGCTGGCTGTATGCATGGTGGGCACAGCCATGCTATAACAGAAAGGAGCTCGTTTTCTCCAGGATAAGCAGTTTGTGGTGGATCGCTTTTCAGAGTGGCAAGGGGGCAGCTAACAAGCATTCAGGAACCGATGAGGCTACCTCCTGAATGCCTGTTTGCTCTATGGTTTTTGTTTTATTGACAGCTGATTGGGCATTGTCAGTGGCAATATTGCACCGCTTAGGTTGCAGCACAGTCCCTGTCACTTCAGTAGGTTGACCTTGACGGTGCTGCTGCCCACTGTACACGATAAGGTGGGGGGTGAATGACGTGTATATACCCATACAGCTGCCTTTGCAGCTTTTACTGGAACTACAATCCCTCTTTTAAAAGCTAAAAGCAGGCAATGTCTCTTCTGCAATAAAAGAAACTTATCTGCCTGCTCAGTCTGCCTTGAAATGTACGGACCTGTGTGCTGAGATGGATGACTGCACTGTTGCACATGTGCAGGAGTGATGTCATCCAACACCAGGCAAAGAAGATGAAAACAGCACCTGGAAAAAGCCAGGAGTAAGATGGTGATACTGGAATGTAGTTCTGCTTTTTGGGGGGGCACTAAAAGCATTGCTCAACTTTCTATTTTTACTGCTCCCCTAACCACAAAGGAAAACCAGGCCAAACTGCTACAACATGGTTGGAAGTGAACAGTTGTCCACAATGTCTTTGCATGTTTGTCAAAGGAGATTGCATCGCTTTGTGCGTCACTTTTACACCTGGTTTTTCAAATATTTATCAAGCTCATATAACTCAAACTTTATAGCCATCTTGTACCTCTACAAGGATGTCAGAGGTACAATTCTTATTACACTGGAACTGATCATTTGCTATAGCAATAGAACTTCCTGCTTTCGTTTTCAGCAAGTTCCCTGGAACACCTTCTCCCCGTATCTAGTTCAGAGGAAAGGCAGATGTACTAATAACATTTGCCACGATGGTTGCCACGTAATTGGCTATTTCGGACAAATTTTCTTTTTTCTGAACAAAACTAAAGATTTTACATTTGGAACATTCAGTTCTGACTTTGACGTGCAGATCTCTTCGTGTGGACTTTGACCAAGTATGGTGGGAATTAGAACAAGCAGATTGCTATCCCTGCTGCTTGCAGATGGCATTGAGGACAAGGTGAAAAGATTTGTGTGGAGATGAGCCTGTACGACAAGCTGTGACTCTTCTACAAGAACACGAAGTACAGCCCAGAGCTGCAGATAACCAAAAATGAATCTTCGGCTTTGTCATTTCCTGACCGGCTGCCATGAACTCCTCAAACTCAGGTTATATCATCTTTTTCCATTTCCAAAATATATTCTTTTAATGGGGAACCATAGTATTTTTTCAGCAAGTTGATATCTCAAGAGACCTTGTTGCCATACTGTTCATTTCAACAACCATCTCCCCATAAGATATGGTGTTTTGAATGTATTTTATGCACATTATTTACCTGTAAAAGCCTCTCTTGTGTTGACAACCAAAAGCCCCTAGACTGCTTCTGGGCCCCGCCATCTTGGAAGTGATGATGATGGCCCCAGCAGACTTGGTTGTCACTCAGGTGACACTTTATACTGTATTCCTATTCCTCCTTCCTGCCACTGTTGCTACAGAACCTCTTTTTTTAGCTGCTAAATAGCTGTACCAGATGGCCAGTGTAGAATGTGCAGTATGGAGTAATATAGACTTTCCTGACAGCAGTATGATCAGAGCCCCTGAAAGTCATGCCAGTCTCAGCGTTATTCAATGCCCTTACTGCTGGGGTCCACTCTGCTGACTCCCAGGGCCCACATGCAGCAGAAGCGACAACAGAAGTGAGATGATATTTTCATTTAAATTGACAAAATTCAAACTCTTATTGTACAAAGACTTTTACAAAAGCTGCATCCCCAATCTTGCTGCAATGTATCACCCAGACCGTTCTCTCCGTTCCTCCCAAGACCTCCTGCTCTCTAGCTCCTTTGTCTCCTCCTCCTTCCATGATCATCTCCAGGACTTCACCAAAGCCTCTTCCATCCTCTGGAACGCACTACCTCAATCTGTTCGGCTATCTCCTACGCTGTCCCCTCTTAGGCAATCCTTGAAAACTTATGTTTTCAGGGAAGCCTATCCCACCTCCACCCAACAACTGAATCATATTTCTCCCATCAGCTCATCCCTCAGTTATTACCTTTTTTTTTTTTTTTTTTTTTTTTTCCCGCTTGCCTCACCCTATTAGATTGCAAATGCTCAGAAGCAGGGCCTTCCTAACCTTCTTTGTATTGAATTGTATTATTGCTGTCCCTTTATATTGTAAATAACTGAACAAATGTTTGGCACTATAGAAATTCTGTATACTTTATATGTATATTTTACTTCCTAAAGCGGTTAGTAAATGTTATATATATATATATATATATATATATATATATATATATATATATATATATATATATATGATGCAGCGCTAGTAAAACCTTAAAATCTCAAAAACATGTATAATAATGATACACAAAATACACACATAAACGTGATTGAACAAAAAAAGTGACCCCAATCCAATCGTGGATCATAAAAATGTGACCCCCAAGTCCTATAGGACACAAAGGATGATAAGGTACAGATCCCTAGAAGGGATCAAAACAGCACATTAAGTGAAGCACACAGTGACTAATAAGTCCATAAATCAGTGTGGTGATCATCCCATTCATGCACGTTGTGGAAAAAACAACCTCGATGTGATCCCCAACAGAGTGGCTAGAATGGCCTCTCACCTCCACTTCATGACCCTGCAGGGCCAGAAAGCAAAAAAGCTCCTCTGGATCCTCAGGATAGCCAATCTATCACTAAGATGACATCCCCAGGTGATAAACTTTCACCATTCCACTGGACCGATTGGTAGACAGCTTAACACTCCCATAGGTGCCATAACACATATGCTCATATAACAGAAAGAGAACAAATCTCCATAGTGAAGTACTGTTTATTGGCATATAAATAAAAAACAGAAATGCACTCACATGGGTATCTCTTGTGTAAAGCAACGTCCAGTAGTATCAAGGTAGAATCCAATGGGCATAGTATACAGCTTGCATCACATACACTAGCCAGGTGTACTGCATGAAGAAAAAGCGCTTGTTGGGTATACAAAGATGGCGCCATGCTTTAAGTGTGTCACACATTGTTGCTGTCGACGCGTTGCGTCACGTGACCTCGTGACTTCATCAGGACCTTTATCAACACTAAATATTAACCATTTACATAAGAGCGCAGGAGGACCTATTTCTTATTAGTAAATGTCATAGCTCTATCGGGAAAAGTGATTATCAGCGCTGTTCATGGAAAAGCTTCAGTGTGTTGCCCAATCATTTGCACACACTTAGGACATGAATCAGCTTCCTGGACCCATAAATGTCTATAGGGTTCAACTGTGCATGTATGCATGGCAGAATGGAGGAGCTAGGCCAAAGGATAAAACGGTTTCAGTGGACCCCACCAGTGAGATCTCTTAAGGGCCCTTTACACTACTGCAGTGGCTGGCGATTTTTCCGCACTGGAAGAACGTCAGTCACCACATGGAACAGTTGCTTCCTATGTGCCCCATTCTCAGTACAACACAGCCTCCAGATATGAAGTGACATGAATGAAGTGTCACTTTGTACATTTTAAATAAAGTTGGCAAGAAAAAAGGAAACTGATGCAGTAAAAATGCACATCACAGCGCCCCCTGCTGCACCTCACTGCAGCCTAAAGCTACCCACTTGCTAAACCAGAGTGTTTTAGTATGCAGGCAGTGTGAGTGAGCCCCTAAGTATGGAGCTTGGGAGAGGGGGACGTGGGCTTCTTTAGGCAAGCAGGAAAATGCTAATGAAACTTTTGTTGAAAGTGTTCTTGCCCCCTTTTTTTTTTTTTTAGTTCATTTTAGGGATTCCCAAAGAATATGTTTAGATCAGGTAAAAAAAGATTAGGATTAGTCATCTAATTGTTTCTTTTCAACACTTAAAGCCCCATGCTGAGAACTGAGCCATCCTTCCAGTGCTGAAAGCAAACATTTCAGTATATAGATTATTGAAATATTAGAGTACTCATTGGCTATAGTATTATGCTCAGAACAATACCAGCATGTAGCCAATCAGCACCAGTATATTTTCAAAGCTTTACTAGCATATAGCCAATGAGAGCTTTGCATATATTCAGAACTAGAAATGTGCCATGCTTATTGAGGGTCTGAACAAACATAGGCATTCATTTACCAGTTTTTTCCCCAATGATTCTAGAACTACATTTTTATTTTGTAGGAATACTGGGGACAGTTATGTGAAGCTTGAGACCTCTGCAGATCTCAGTGACCATGGTGGGATGAAATGTAGTCAGCAAGCTGCATTAGCCTCCCTGGCGGTATTCCCGAGTGTAGCTCGGGGTAAAGTTTCAGCACCACAAGCGGTAACCCCGAGCTACACTCGGGCTTACCATGCAGTGCTGCTCCAGGATCTGTTCTTCTCTTACCTTGTCCTGCGCTCCCGCGATGTCCCCCCTGCAGTGTCCCCTGTAATGGCCTCCGGCGGATGCCGGCATTTGTCATCTCGGTTCCGTCCCCTGCGAGCGTCAGGACATATGGGGGACGGAGCGGTGGGAAATTTGAAAATGACAAAAAGTGACATTCACTAAAATCACATACTATAACATTACTGTATCAAACCATTTCACATACATTTTGTCCCGAGTGCTTTGTCCTCCGTGCTGCCTGCATTTTTACTGTTCATTCTGCCTGGAAACTGAGAAACGTCCATGGCGTCCAAAAAGCGTCCCTTTTAGGCCAAAAGCGGTTTTAGACCGGCTAGAGAACAGCGATAGTAAATCAGAACCACTTGCAGAATTGAGTGATAATGATTTGTGGGGGAAATTCATCATCAGACACTGAAAACGATTTTGCGACTTTGCTCAGTGATGTGCGAACTTGGCTCTATATTTCAAATTTCAGTGTTTTTGGTTTGTTTATATTATTGAATTAAATTTATTTTATTTTTTGATTATTAAATTTATAATTTTATGATTTTCGTGTTTCAAGTTTTATCATACCCGGGATGTTTACTAGACTCTTGTTCGGACAGATTTCAGTGAGTTATTCCTAAAAATTACAGGCCTACAATAAAAAAAAAAACATTTTTTTTTATTGTCGCACCTCCTGCATGGAGTTTGCATGTTCTCCCTGTGCTTGCGTGGGTTTCCTCAGGGTGCTCCGATTTCCTCCCACACTCCAAAGACATGCTGGTAGGTTAATTGGCTCCGGTCTAAATTGGCCCTAATATGTGTATGTATGAATGTGAGTTAGGGACCTTAGATTGTATGCTCCTTGAGGGTTAGGGACCGATGTGAATGTTCCAAATATATATATATAGTAAAGCGCTGCGTAAATTAACACTATATAAGTATCTGAAATAAATAATATTTCCATGCAAAAAAATGTACCGCTTTGAGCACAGAAATATGGACATAATCAGACCGCTAGGGAGGTTAAGCAATACTTTCATAACTTTCAGGAAACTGAACATGGCTGTACCCTATATTTTATTCTGTATTTTTTTTCTGCTGGATGGAATGTTGTCATTGTTAATGTTAAACTCTTGCTAATACCGAGCATGTGTTCACAATATGGTGTTAGTCAATCAGTTGCTTTTTTTTTTTTGTATTACTAGGAAAGTGTACCAGATAAGCAGGAAGCCAATGACTAATAACACCATCCCTGGCTTTCTGGAAACTCCTGACATATGGCTTGTTCAAGTCTCAGTGTGTCTACACAAGCTGAAGTGGTTATAAAGCCAAGTCCTTTTTACCTTCTTGCATTCCCAGAGACCAGGGCTGTGCCTGTTTGCAGTAGTGCTGGTCTCTGTTCCTCTTCTCACAGGACAGATGGAGAGCAGTGGGAGCCATTGGCTCCTGCTGCTGTCAGTCAAATCCTGTGTTCAGGGAGCAAGGCTGAGCTACACAGTGTGTGTCTATAGATGCAGACAGCCCAGCGTGGAAGCGTACCTACATGTGTGCCCCCATAGCATTATAAACAATTTAAAATTAAGATAAGCACAAGGGACATTACTTGCCATTAGTGTGGTGTGTTAATTTTTGCTGCGGTCTCCTGGTTTAGGTGATGTCTTTCTCCTCGGGTGCCCCCTCACCACCCTAATTTTGCGGTGTAGCGATGGTTAATAGAGCTGAGGAAGCTGTCACAGGCAAGCGCCCAACTTTGCGCACCCTTTCTGCCCAGTGCCCTCATATATAAAAGCATTATTATAGCTCTACGAATGGAGGTGATAGACCTTTCAATCATCTGCCCTTCCTGCATTCATAGATCACATTTCATTCATCGCTTTCACCTAAACCAGGAGACAGCAGCACAGGAGACACATCACACTGATGGGTAAGTAATGTCGTGTTTTTTTGGTTTTTTTTTTCTCCTCCAATTGAACTTAGTCTTTAAAATAAGTATTTTGTTTTTTTTTTATTTTTGTTAATATGCCTTGCAAAAAAAATAAAAAATCAACCGCAGAATTTCTTTACCACTAGAAGTCTCTTGATTGAATGACGGCCAGCATCATCCAACCGACTTATGTGAGCCAAAACTGTCCTGCAAAAATGTCTTTTTAATCCCGGTGAAAATCCAGTGAGCTCACAAGCTCTTGTGATTTCTGCAGTGTTATTAGCCCTGCAAGTTCCCAGTTCACCTCTGGACTACAGAACGCCTCACACTGTTAGAGGGAGATGTTCTTTTATTATTTCTTTTAATAATTAATTTATTTTTTTTCGATACTTAAACACTCTTTCATAGTTCTCAAAAAAGAAATAGAAACCATTCCCCCACATTGTCCCACCCTAACCCCCGTCCCCCTTCAAGTCCCTTCCCACCCACCAATTTTCCCCAGGCCATATAGTTCTGTCCGACACTTTCCATCTATTCCTGTCCATTTCTACGTCTCTTTTCTTTAATCCTCTCCTATACACTTCTTCACCATTCAGTTCAATTCTTCATGTCAGGCCATCTAGAACTCCCACTACTTCCAGGTATTTTTTTTTTAGATGTCTTGAAATTATACCAACCAACCCATTCCTTTTTAAACCTTTCCATTATATCTTCAAATATATGGCATACCTCTTCCATCTTGTTTATTTAATCATCTCTATCTATCCAGTCCCTCAGTGTTGGGGGCTCCTGTATCTGCCAAAATTTTGGAATAAGTCCCTTGGCCGCACTGATTAGGTGGTATAGTACACTGTTCTTATATTGTTTCCCTGGTATCTCTGACCCATAAAATAAACACCCCCATGGCTCTTTCTTCATGGTGATCCCCAGTATCTCTTGTATAACTTGTATTATATCCTGCCAAAACGTCTGTATTTTAGGACAATCCCACCATATATGTGTCATAGTTCCCTTAAATCCACATCCCCTCCAACACAACGGTGATACCTCTCCTCGCCGTCTGTGCCACACTCGGTGTAAAATACCATCTAGTTAAACATTTATAATTCATTTCAACCGTGCTCATGTTCACTACCCCATGTGCCAATTTAAACAATTTATTTTTCTGCTGTTCACTCATTTTCATTCCCAGCTCCCTTTCCCATTTCTCTAAGAACAACAGTTCAGTAAGGATCTTCTATACCTCAGAAGTAACATGCTTTAGAACTCCTGTCAGAGCTCAGCATTTTCTAAAATGGGAGCATTTCCTCCGGCATGAGAGAGGGAGATGTTCTATAGTCTCGGTGACCACTTTTGCTCCACCACAGGATAATATATGCAGGGAGTATAGCTGCTATCAGACTGCAAGTTTTACTGGCAGTATCACCAGGAGAAATAAAGGAAAAAAAGAGAGAGCTAATGCAGTCACCACGTCCTAAGGACTGGGAAGCTGCATTTTGTTACATATTTGTCCCTGAGTTAAGATACGCGTTAAAGTCCTTTTTTTTTTTTTTTAGATCACAAAGCATAATGAATGAATATATATATATATATATATATATATATAACACACAGAATACACCCCTTTTGAAAAGTAAGACTTCAATCGATATCTCAATGAACACCATTTCTAAAATTCTGACAAAACTGAGTTTTATAGAACATTTGTTTAGCTCATTACATGAAAGTAAGGTTAATATAACTTGGATTACAAAATCTTCAGTTTTACTCAAATTAATTGATGTAAAAATGGATACACCCCACACAGCAAAAACGACATCATTCATGATTTGTAAGGACAGCACCTAGTCTTCTAAGCATGGAAAGAACAAGGTGACATATTGCAACCTCAATCTTTTTCCATTCTTCAAGAATGACCCTTTTTTAGAACCTGTATGCTGGATGGAGAGTGATGCCCAACTTGTCTATATTGAATAAGTTATTATTTATTTCAGGTACTTATATAGCGCCATCAATTTATGCAGCGCTTTTACATATATATTGTACATTCACATCAGTCCCTAACCCTCAAGGGGTGTACAATCTAAGGTCCCTAACTCACATTCATACATACACATACTAGGGACAATTTAGACAGGAGCCAATTAACCTACCAGCATGTCTTTGGAGTGTGGGAGGAAACCGGAGTACCCGGAAAAAACCCACGCAGGCACATAATTCCCCAGTACGTCTGTGAATTCATGATACCAGCAATAAAAAAAATGCAGCTCCCCGACACCAGCAGCACTCATGCAGCCCCACAGAAGGATACTGCCACCACCATGTTTCACTGTAGGAACCATGCAATTTTCTTTGTACTCCTCACCTTTGTGACACCATACCGTTTTGAAGCCATCAGTTCCAAAAACATTTATTTTGGTCTCATCACTCCAGAGTACAGAGTCCCAGTAGTCTTCTTTTTCAGTATGGGCCCTGGCAAATTCTAGGCAGGCTTTTTTGTGCATGGGCTTTAGGAGTGGCTTTCCTTTGTGGATGACACCCACGCATGCCATTTTCTCTACAGCGTATGCCGTATTATGTCACATGAAACAATCACACCAGATTGGCTTTCTAGTTTAGCTAACTGCAGTGAACTTGCATGGTGATTTTCTTCAACTTTTCTCCTCAGAAGGCGCTCCTGTCGAGGTGTTAACTTCCGTGGATGGTCTGAACATCTCTGTGAGATGGTTGCAGTTCCATCTTTGTTAAATTTTTGTATCACTTTTGCTACAGTATTCTGACTGATAAATAAAGCTTTGCTGATCTTCTTGTAGTCTTCACCTTTCTTGTGTAAAGAAATTATTTTCTTTCTCTAGCCTTGTGACATTTCTCTTCCATGTGGTACCATTGCTGACAGCATGAAATGGGTGGAGTTTTTCTTTAACCTCTTCCCGTCCGGCCCATGTTGATAAACAGCCTGACGGGAGCGCTGCCGATGCGGGTGGATGTTTCTAAATGTCCCCCCCGCATCCATTGCTAGTGCACACACTCCCTGGGAACACAGATCGCTGTACGGGACCTCTGTGTGAGGTCCCAGTTTCAGGTGATCACTGACTGACCAATCGTTGATCACATGCATAGTAGTAAACAAGATGTCACTTCCTGACATCATTGCTTACTACTCGTGAAATCTGTGAATGATCACAGAGATGACATGGTACAGGGCTATTCACAACAGCCTTGTATCATGTGACAAGCTGTGACCAATCACAGTTCGTACAGTATTTCTCAATGGGTGAAGGAATGCAGCTAGAGAGAA